CCGGGAGTGAGGGGCACCAGCAGGGGCTGCAGGTCAGGAGTGAGGGGCACCAGTGGGGGGGAGCAAGGGGCTGTGGGTCGGGAGTGAGGGGCATTAATGGGGAGCAGGGGCTGCAGGTCAGGAGTGAGGGGCACCAGTGGGGGGGAGCAAGGGGCTGTGGGTCGGGAGTGAGGGGCATTAATGGGGAGCAGGGGCTGCAGGTCAGGAGTGAGGGGCACCAGTGGGGGGGAGCAGGGGCTGCGGGTTGGGAGTGAGGGGCACCAGCAGGCCTGGGTGGGTGTCAGTGTCTCATGCTTGTGGATTGCACTTCCTGGTGGTCCTCCATGTCACAGGCTCTGCACTCCCCCACCTCTGTTGTGCTTTGTTTGCTAAGCAGGGTCCAGCCTGCGCCCGTGCCTGGATGGGGCCCTCCTGGTGCCCCTCACTACTAACCTGCAGGCCTTTGGGTGTCCACCCTTTTGTGTGTGGCTGCCACACCCCTCCCCAGTACCAGCTCCATCCGCCTGGCACAGGCACGGGACACTGGAAGTGGCCAGTCTTGGGTTGGTTGGGAAATCCGGCCTGGGGTCAGGGCCAGTGCCCCCTCCCTCCCCCCCCAATGTTCCCAGCAGCCCCTGGGGCAGGCTGCTGACAGGGAGGAGGGGACCAGAGTCCGGTCAGACGTGGGCACCCGGACTTTGCTCGCCCAGTTGGCTCTGGGCCAGGCCTCCCTGCCTCTCCTCTGCCTGCGCTTGGCAGCCAATCGGGGCTGGGATGTGGCACCCCCTCCCCCTCCAGCCGGATGTTGAGGGGGGGTCAGCTGGTACTGGGGTGGGGTGGCATATAACAATGGGGCACAGCCCTGAGTGTGCCCCCCTATCAGGTGGTGACAATTTGTCCTCTTTTGGGCTCGTGACTTGTCACATGCCCAGGTGCCACATGAGCTTGCACACTTGTGGTCCCATGCTGCATGCTCACAGCCCCCCTTTCACAGGCAGGGCATGCGCTGGCTGCGGGGCTGCCGGGTGGCATGGGCGCGGGGCACGCACACGGCCCTGCGTGTGGTGCACGGGGACCTGGAGGCAGCGCCGGCGCGGGTGCGAGCCTTCGTGGAGCAGGGTGCCCAGCTGTGCCAACCGGCTGCCGTGCACCTGTGCGATGGGTCGCAGGCCGAGAATGGTGCTGTGCTGGCCCTGCTGGAGACTGAGGGTGTCCTCCAGCGCCTCGCCAAGTATGAGAACTGGTGAGTGCTGCTGGCTAGACACCGGGGCTCCCTCCCTCCCAGTACCAGCCCATCCTGCAGGCCTCAGTTACCCACAATGCCCTGCAGGGCAGCCATACTACTGGTGATTACCCACAACCCCCTGCAGTGTGGCCCTGTCACAGCCTGTTACCCATAGTTCTGTGTGTTGGGATCCTGTCAGTTCAAGTTGCCCACAATGCACTGCAGCACAGCCCAGGTACTAGCAATTACCCATAATGCCCTGCAGAACAGCCCTGCTAGTGGTGATTACCCATAACCCCCTGCAGCATGGCCCCGTCATTGCCCATAGTCCTTTGTGATGGGATCCTGCCACCCCAGGTTGCCCACAATGCACTGCAGCACAGCCCTGGTACCAGCAATTACCACCCAAAACCCTTTGGTGCAGATCTGCCATGACATGTCACCCATCGTCCTTTGCAGCGGGGTTCTGCGGCCCCCTTGTATCCACAATACCCTGACAGGCAGCCTGGCTAACAACAATAACCTGCAGCTCCCTGCAGTGTGGCTCTGCCATACCTCGTTACTCACAGTCCTTTGTGTCAGGATCCTGTGGTCCCAAGTTACCCACAATGCCCTGCAAGGCAGTCCTGGTACCAGTGGTTATCCCCAATGCCCGGCAGGGCAGCCCTGCTCTTGACAGTTACCCGCAGCCCCTGCAGCTGTCCCTGCCAGGGCCACTTATCCCCAGTCCTTTTTTACCAGGATCCTGTGGCTCTGTTACCCACAATGCCTGTATTGCCCATAATACTTTGCTGCAGCCAGTGACACTAAGTTACCCACAGTCCTTTGTGCGGGGGGGGGGAATTACGTACAATGCTGCAGTCAGTTACCCACAGTCCTTTGTGCCCTCCAGGAGCCAAATTACCCACAGCCCTGTGTTTTGCAGACCACTGTTGTTTGTGTCTGGATCCCATGAGACTGAATTACCCATAGTCCTTTGCTTGGTGGGACTACATTACCCATGATCCCCTGCAGGGTGGCTTTGCCAATTACCCACAGTCCTTTGCATCAGCATCAGGGCACCCTGAATTACCCTCTACACTTTTTGCCTATAATACCATGTGGGGTCCAGTTACCAACAATGCCCTGCAGGATATCCTGGCTGCAGCCAGCCACTCACAGTCCTTTGCAACAGGGCTATAATTTCCACCCCGTCCCCCCAACCAAGTTACCAATGGAAATGGGTGGGGTCCTCTAGAGGTCTGTCCTGGACACTTGGGCCCAATTTCTTGTGCCCCCTGGGGGGGTGGAAGTCTGTCCTGGATGCCTGGGTCCATTCCCCAAGCTCCCTTCCCCCTGTGCTATCCTGGACACTGATCCCCTGCCCC